GCCGCACTAGTATCCCCTGCTGAAGCCGATGTGACACATTCATCTGAAGTAGTTGGGATGCCTGCCCGTCCATCGAAAGATCCCTTTGACGCATGGATTGATGACCTGGTTGAATTTCAGGAGACTATTTCCTATGAACAATTCAGAAATGACTGTTCCGGATGTATGCTAAACCATGTAAATTTTCTTCCAGACGTTAATGCCTCTGAAAGTTTGCACCAAATAGTTAAACGCTTACCAGATTACATGATTCAGAAATGGAAAGATAATGCAACACAAATTCGCGAGCGAGAATGACCCAACCTTGCTCATATTAGTAGATTTCTTAGAAAACAGGTCAAAACGGATTTTGACCCCGATTTCGTAGATCTTACGTGTGACAAAGCAGATGAGAAGGTGTCAAGAGATTGTCCAAAATCGAAGGGTGTCCATGCTGCCAGTGAGAAGAAACCCCCAGAGAGAAGGCCTATCAAGTGTTATGTCTGCGAGTCCCCTTACAGAGTGACAGACTGCCCTACCTTTCAGGATTCCTCCCCCACAGATCGTTTCAAGATATTGAAGGAACACCACCTCTGCTTTTCGTGTCTCATCTGAGGCCACAAAGGTGAAGAGTGCAAGTTCAAGAAAAAATGCGACAAGAATGATTGCTCAAGAATATATCATCCCTTGATCCTAGCAGTGCAGTTTGCACCTTGAACGTAGATGGGATTCTACCAGCTGTTCATGTGATTTTCAGAGCTGAGTATGGAAGAGTCAGGGAAGGTAATGTCCTCATTGATAATGGCGCAGCGACCACCATCATTTGCAGAGACTTTGCTAAGGCCCCAGGCCTGCAAGGTCAAAGAGAACCACTGGAAATTTCAGTTGTTGGAGGCACTTGCTTGAGGCAGAAATTTAGTTGCCAGGTGAGGTTCTGGATTTCACCTTTATCCAGAGGTGAAGATTATGAAATAGAGGCACATGAGATTGACCGTACTGTCCTTAGCATTCTTCCTTTAGACCGTTATAACGGCTTTCCTCCTTTCCCTATATCTCTGATCTCGAATTTGCTCATTAGGCTAGACCAATTGACTTCATCCTTGGAGTCCAGTACAGCCACCTCCATACTGAAGAATAAGTACGACAGGGCCTACAATTTGAGCCAGTTGGAAAGAAGACTCCACTTGGGTGGTTTGTTATTGTTTCTGACAGTACTAAGTCTTCTCCTTCAAGAGCATCTGTTAGCACCATCCTCAAAGAGCATCTAGATTTTACCGGCCGTACAACTTTGAAACATTGGGTGTAAGATCACCAAACTGTTCCTGTCCAGTGAACAGCATGTCCAAGAGGACACAAGAACAAAGGAGATGTTTGCCAACTCTTGTCACAAGGAGGGAGACTGATATATGATTGGACTGCCATGGAAGGGCAACCCATTCCTCCCTCCAAACAATCACCCTCTAGCTGAGAAACGATTGCCGACTTCGGAACGGAGCTTATCCAAGAATCTTGACAAAGCTAGCATGTACGACAAGGCAGTCAGGGAGTATGTGGATAAGGGTTGGGCCATCCTAGTGTCAGATGAAGCCGTTGAGGGACCTGTCTAATATCCACCCCATCATGGAATATATCGACCAGAGAAGATCGGTACTCCATTGAGAGTTGTCTTCGATCCCACCAGCAAATATCAGGGAGTCTCATTGACTTCCTTTCTTTAGGAAGGACCAAATCTTATTGGAAACCTGTTTGGTGTACTGTTACATTTAGAGAGGATCTAGTGGCGATTGTTGGAGATACATCCAAGATGTTCCTTCAAGTTTTGTTAAGACCAGAGGATACTGAAGTCCATCGTTTTCTTTGGCGAAATCTTGACAGTTTGAGAAAACCTGAAATCTACCGGATGACGAGGGTCGTATTTGGTGATAAGCCTTCACCTGCTATGGCCAGCTTTGTCATTCTGCAGATCACTGAGAAGTTCAAGTCCACTCATCCTGAAGCTTTTTGGATACTGCAGCACGATAGGTATATGGATGACCTAATTCATTCCTGTCCAACCGTAACACAAGCTATAAAGCTGACATGATTGATGGCTCCTTTTCCGTGAAAAGATGGTATTGCTTGGCATCAACTCCAGGTCAGGAGGACTCTTGCATCAATCTTGGTAACGAAGAGATAATTAAGACCCTGAGAGTGAGAGTGTGTTGGAATCCAACTTCCAGGTAAAGGAAGCCGAGACCAAGGCCTGATTTACCACCAGAACGTATGAGAATGTTTTCGCAACCGTTTGCAACTGTTGGCATTAATTTATTTGGTCCTTTCCAGTTGAAATATGGCTGTAATAAAGCAAAGAAAGCTTGGAGAGCCATTTTTACTTGTGTCACAGTTCAAGCAATCTACTTGGAAGTAGTAGGGGATCTTTCGACCCAAGCCTTCATGCATGCTATTAAACAATTTGCACCACATCATTGTTGGCCTTCAACCGTGATATCCTTCATTGGTGCAGAGAAGAACTCAAGAAGCTGTTCACAGAAGGATGGAGGGAGCTGGAAGACTTTGCAGTTCTCCAAGAGCTGGAGTGGCAGTTTATCACACCCCTTGGTCCTCATCAGGGAGGATTCTATTAAAGCCTTATTAAGCAAATGAAAAACACTTTGAAAGTTTCAAATTCAGACCAGATTCTGATGTGGAATGAAATGACCACAGCCTTCAATGAAGTGGAAGGTCTTCTTAACTCCAGGCCGATCGGACATTCATCTGATGACCCAAATGATTTCAGACCTCTTACTCCCAATCATGAAATGATTGTGAGTAATGAAATCATGAAATGATTGGGAGAGCTTCCACAGATACCCCACAAGGTCAATTCAACATGACTGGAAACTTGCACAAGCACTTTGAGTTTATGCAGGGTCTTGTCACACAATTCTGGAGTTGCGCTTCTTATCTGCACCAGTCCTGTTTAGTTTATTTTGTACATGTACATAAACAGGAATGTATATTACATGATTATTAAGGTTGCATTATGATGACATCATTAAAAGTCATTTGACATCATAATACAGGCATACAGTTTCATGTCGTATAACAAGGGAATTTTGAGTCTGATTTGGTTCAATTTTTTTTGTACCTTTATGGCCGGGGATGTCTAATAGATGATAATTTAAATCACATCATGATGGAGTCACTAGGGGTCATTCATTATTCCAAAGGCGCACACTTTAATTCCCCATAACTAGAGAACTTTGAGACCAATTGGGTTCACTGTCAATATGTAGGGTAGACTGGGATGTGTTACAGTTTACATTTATTTTGACATCTTGATGATGTCATTATGGGAATATGACATGATCTTAAAGCTGAACGTTTGAAGTCAACTTAAGAAATAACTCAGTTTGATTGCGTTCAATTCTAGTATGTGAGTAGAAACAGACGTGTTGTAGTTAAAAATTGAGTTGAAGTTGTGAAACCTGAAAGGGGTCATGTGATATCATTTTAAAGGTGACATTTTATGGTCCTACATAAAGAACTGCATATTCAATTCCATTCATTGGAGAAACTGATAATGACATCATCCTGTGAATTTTTTTGAATTTTTATATTTTTCTGCATATCTCATTGACTTTTGCATGTTTTGCTGTTTCATTTACCTCTCTAATGGGAAGTATGCATGTATGGCAAGTGCATTGTTCTCAAAACCTAGAAATGCGGAAAAGCCCTTCATTCTGTCACAAAGAGACAGAGTAGCTCTCAATAGTCTTCGTTATTGACCGAGGTATTTGAAAACTATGGCTGCACATACGTGTATTTTTCAATTGCAATAATATTGTTCAAAGGTAACAGTGAAAAATTTAAACAGTCAACTGCGACTGCAAAACAGAGAATGAAAAATCAGAGGTAACAATATTTTGTGGAAACTATAAAAATAGGGTAGGGAATAAGTTAGATCTATAATTGAATTTGCTTCTAATTAGACAGGTGTTTTTAACATTGTGACATTTGTTTCACATTTTAACAGGATCAATTTAAAATTATCTTGATTTTGATCCAGATGTTTGAAAATGTACTCCATAGTTGATGAGTACCACATGTGATGTGTTTTTCTGGGGAACCAAAAACTATGGGGGGTCAGTAAAGTCCAAACTACTGCATCCTATTTCTTTCCAACAAAATGAAATTTTCCTCACTAGTAATTAGGTGCTTTGTAACCACCCCTATAGGGTACTAACACAATGCAATGAAATGAGACACTTTTTCTATTTTACAACTAACTGGTCAGAGCCTCCTCTCAATTTCATTGCAAATGCACTGTGAGATGGCGCAGAATAAGTTTAAATGTAGTGCCAAATTTATTGTGTTCATCAAAACATTCTTTAGTTATATTGATCTACGAAGTTGACTAATACCTCACACAAAAGCCAGCAGCGGTATATTAATGTTGACTGCTTCAAGTGGTTTAGCAAAGCTTTCCTGCTGAGGTTATAACTGATCTATTTGATCTAACTGTATATAAAAATAAGTCCATTTGAATTAGAAATTTGTTAAAAATTTACCAGTACTGTTTCCAACCAACCTTTTCACAAAATCTGTAGAGCTAGTGCTTTGGAATGCATGTGACATGCAACACGCACCCCAGTATGCATTTGCACACATTGGCGGTGATCCTGCTCGTAGTTAATTTGGTTGCTACGTGTATAGTTTTGGGTTGTTACGTGTATAGATCATTTTGCTGTGCACAACAAGACAGCTAAAATAGCGAATCCAATGTGACTCACACTAGACCAAGCAAGATACAGAATCTGTTGGTCAGGTGTTATAATCGGAAATTGCTGCCCCAGAGTACAATCATAATTAACCCCAAGTACCTGGAATTATATCTAAAAGGCTTTTTGAAATTAAAGATTTGAGATTGCTGGCTGAATGAGACATCTCTGCAATCCATCTATGATTAGTTATGGTGTTGTGAGTAAGACTTGAATCTTTTTTACAGTTACAATTTTAAGATTTTTTTTATCTGTTCATAGGTACATTGGTTACAGAGGATTTTCACTCTCACTGGCTTCCATGTACTTGCCTTCATCACATGGTGAAAACAGTGTTGCACAGAGCCATGTACAGTTAGACATTGATGAAGCAGTTAGTCCCAACATAAACAGCAGCTATAAAGTAAGTATATCAGATTTGTTTGTACTTGGCCTGAAAGAAAATGCTGAAACTATTGTTGGTTCAGGTCTGACAATTGTTTTTGGTAGCATGAATGAGCAAGTGATTCAGACAGTGAATTTGACATGTATGTGTGTATGGCTGTGGAATGAAGGAGGCTAATCCACTGGTATGTTGGAGGCTTCGAAGGTTTTTTTTACAGATTGGCCAACACAGTGCGGAGAATTACACTGAAATGAGCAGGCAGTTATTTATTATTGACAACTGAAATTTCTATATTTTAAGTCCAGAATAAATATTCAAAATGTAATAAGAAATTTGGTGTAGCTGTCATAGCATTCATGTAAGTAAATTAAAGTCAGAGGAATTTCTTAAAACCATACAAGATTGACACTTAAGTGACAATCAGAAATGTCCCGCTCACCATTTTGAAGCATGATTTTAGTCAACAGAAACTTGATTATGCTGTATTGCCGAATTTATAATTATGGTGTGCATAAAAAGTAGTTCCAATTTCCACATATGAGAGGAATTTGTGTAATTCCAAGGTCAGTCATGAGGTAAATGTGGCCATGTGTACAGACAACATGTGTGATTGTTGCTTATATTCTAATCTGGTAACCAGAATGACAAACCTGTATTGTGGTAGTACATGTACCAAGCGAATGGACAGATGGTACATTCCTCTTCAACCAGTTGTGTGTTGTGACTTGCCAAAGTGCACACACTCATGTTTATACAGTGGCATCTCCTGAGATTAAGAGCATTTAATAGACCTGAAACAATGATGTTATGCTTTGTTTTATATGTGTATGCTTTCTTATAGGGACTTGATAGATCACATCCCACCTCACTGCCATAGAAAAGCACACACAGTCATAGATAATGACTATTTATTGGTAACGAATGGATCATGTGATATGCCACAAGCACACATGTATCAATTATGATTGAGTGCATTTGCGATGTTGTTGTGCAACAAAAGGATGGATAACCATGATCTTTCCCACAGTTGATAAGTCGTTTGCAATACATTATTGTTGTGTAACCTCAGGTACAAGGTTGTGTAGCTGTGCTGGTACCACATAATTTGTGTATAAGATGTACAGTGGCGGACAGTGAAACGGCTGATTTCTGCTGGTGATATTGAAGAAGGACGATCACTATTTTTGTTTACATCTTTCGTTTTGAGGGCTCCCTCAAAGAAGACGTTTTTCTTATTCCTAAGATGAGATCAGGTTTGGATTTTTGTCAAAGCATGAAGAAAATATGGAACATTCTGTGTGTGTAAATAGGTTGTTGTGGTTCTGAATTCTGCACTTCAACAGGCATGGCCATGATGACTGGAAGACCCAACTGTTACAGACAATAACCACAATAGAATTGGGCAGCTTACTGGAAGTTTTGTTAAACATCAAGACAAAAGACCAAATCTCTCCTTACCTAATGTGGGTTGAGTCTGCTACTGTATACATACCAGATTTCCAATACCTATGCATTATTTCCCAGTCCATTACTTCCATTCGCTAAATTCTCGATCACCAGTAGTGCACCCCCACCCACTTGACCCTCGCAAAGGCATCAGTCATGTTCTCCTCTTTTCCGATGCACAAAGTGCGCCAAGGCCTCATGGGGAGGAGGGAGGGAGATTGGTAATCTGGTAGGTATGCAGTAGGTGGGGGAAAGTCTGTGCCATTATCTGATGCCAAGTGCACCACGTTGATCTCCCCGCTTGGGTGTCTCCATTGTCCACCATGGCTACATGTAAGTCAAACAAAGCCAGTATAGTTGTGACTTATGACTGGATGCACCACTCCACACTATCGTGGTGTTATCAGAAAACTCAGGCTCTCGAGGAACAGAACTCTGTACTACAATAATACCACAGCAAACAAGCTGATGACATTGAAGTCAAGCCAGGACCAGAATTTTCAGGGGCATCTGCTGTACACACCAAGAAGCGTACTAGTGACACCAGTCTCCAAGTTTATCTGAAGAATGCGAGGAGTTTGAAGAATAAACTTGATGTCCTGCACAGTTCACTATTTGCTCACCTTCAACCAAGAAGTGTTTTCAACTTCTTTGCTGTAACTGAAACTTGGTCTACCAAGGCTGTGCTTGATTCTGAGATTAACATCCCTGACTACACCATCTTCCATAATGACAGAAACAACAGACGAGGTGGTAGGGTGCCACAATGCCTTTGAATGTCATAAAGGTCAGACCTTGAGCAGGATAAGGTTGAAATGCTATGGGTGGAGGTTCGGCTTTCTAGTCTCAACAAGTTGCTTCTTGGAGTTTTACAGACCGCCAAACAGTGGTGTTCAACCTCTGGAGGCTCTTGCTGTCATGCTGACTAATACTTCATAGCACTACATCTCCATCCATATAGTTGGCGTATTCAACTTACCCTCTCTGCAGTGTCAATCAACCTCCAGACTTCCAGTCCCAAGTGGCTCCATCATCAATGACGTGTTTGTTGATGTCGTCATGACCGCTCATAACCTGTAGCAAGTGAACTTTTCTCAACGAGAGGGGACAATATCCTTGACCTTGTCCTCTGCTCCAGACAGCATCAAATCTTCTGTGAAACTGGAGACAACATCTTTGCTTCTGAACATAATTTTGTGAGAATTAACTTTCACACAGCTGCTAAAACCACGCCATCCCATGTTAATTGTCCTGTCCTCAATTTTCGCAAAGCTGAACTAAATGACCTGCAGAGAACAATGTATTGCATCCCATGGTGTCTGTTGGAAGCAACAGATAACTGTGATGAAGCCACCACACTCTTCTGTGACTTCATTGAAGCTGCTGTAACTGAAGTTCCTGTAGTCCATCCACGCCGTCCATCTCCTCCGAGGTTCGACAGAGAAGTTTGTCATGCCCTGCAAGCCAAGGAGCAAGCATTCCACGTGAAGAAGAGGAGCCCAACTCCTGCTAACATTCAACTTTTTAAAGAGACTTGATCTCAATTTAAAGAAAATTGTCAGGGCCAGATATGCCAACTATCTATCTTCTGTAGTTGGAGACATTGGTAAAAATCTCAAATGCTTTTGGAGTTTCATTAAGTCTCGAGCAAACTCTCGTCCGTACTCGTTGCCTTCTTTACTTCAAAATAAAACTCTGGTGTGGAAGCAGTAGATCCAGCAGGTAAGGCAGCTCTGCTGATGGATTGTTTCCAGTCAGTTTATCTGCTGGACTCTTGTGATGAATCTGATGCCTCCATACCTGCTCTCCATCATGCAAACTTGGATGCTATGCCAGCTATTAGCATAACTAAATCTGATGTCCTCAGCAAGCTCAATGACATTGATGTTTCTAAAGCCACTGGACCAGATAATCTATCTGGCTCCGTACTTAAATCCTATGCTAATGCTCTTTGTGGTTCCTCAGCATATTTATTCAATAGGGCCAGTTTGGAGGGTCGCTTTCCCTCACAATGAAAAGCTGGTAATATCGTTGCCATCCATAAGTCGGATAATAAACAAAGTGTCACTAACTACAGACCTATTTCATTGCTCCCTCAGGTCTCCAAGGTTTTTGAAAAGATCATCTGTGAGCAAATCATGTATCATGTCCAACCAGTCATCTCTGAGCAGCAGCATGGTTTCATCTCTACTAACCTCACATCTTTGTGCAGGAGGCTTACCATGCTGTTGCACAGAGAGAGCAGTTTGATGTGATTTACACTGATTTCTCCAAGGCTTTCGACCATGTCAATCATGATTTTCTGTTGTATAAACTCGCAACATACAATGTTCATCCCAGTATTCTTTGTCTGCTGTGTAGTTATCTCTATGATAGGAAACATCAAGTGAGTGAAGGTCATTGTTCTAACTGGAATACGGTGCCCTCTGGTGTTCCCCAAGGCTCAATATTGGGACCTACTCTGTTCTCATTATTTGTAAATGACATCCCTCAGTTATTAAATAAAAATTGCTTACTATTTGCTGATGACTTGAAAGTTTTCAGAAGAATTGGTTGCCCGGTTGATACATCCATTGATACAAGAAGAAACCTGTTAGTGTTAGTTATACTCTAGGGAGTGATATACTTAAGAGAGTCACTGTCCAGAAGGATCTTGGAATTTTCATTGATAGCTGGCTGACCTTAGTTCCCCATATTGACTCTGTAATTAAAAAGGCTAATTGACTGTGTGGCTTAGTATGGGGCAATTTCCGCTCCCTTAAGGATAAACGTGGTCTGCATACCATGTATTGTTCACTTATCAGGCCCAATCCGGAGTATTGTACAGTTGTATTCAACTTTATTTCAGCTTGCAAAGATTGAAAAAGTTCAACAACGCTTCCTTATGTTCATGCAACGGAATCTCACAAATAATAATGTTATTGATGTGGATTATCTTGAATTATGTGACCATTACAGACTCCCAACTCTGAAGTACAGAAGAGACCTCAACGAATGTTTATTTTTGTATAAGCATTTTCGTAATTCTTATAACTTGACTGATACAGCTTGTACGCTCAAGCACGTCGGACGAGGCATGCACCTAAGCACATCTCCCATGTCCCATGGAGTCGCATTGAGGTGACTAAGCATGGATTCATCTTGAGAATTTCTACCACCTATGATGGGTTCCATGGGAAACGTGATGTGTCGTAGTCGACCGTCATAAATCCTATGGGTGGACTCTCGCCAACCCTTGGCATTTTGAGAAAGGCCTGCCTGGATGAAGGATCGCTTGACAGTGTCCAACAGCTAAGTGTAGGTGAGCTGGGTCCAGATGCAGTAGGTGAGACCGGAGTTGAAAGAGCAAATCCGGACGCGGAGGCAGGAGTAGGGGAACCCCAACCAGAAGCCTGACTAACCAGGAGAACCACGCTTGCCTCGTCCAGAACAGGGCGATGAGGAGGACGCAGCAATTGCTTTGCTCAATCTTCGTTAGCGTCAGAGGAATGAGCGATATCAGAGGGAAAGCTTAAGCTAAAAGACCCTCCCAAGAAATGCACAGGGCATCAAATGCCGAGGCCTGCGGATGT